AACGAGAAGCAAAACCTCCTGGAAATTCTGAGGTTCCTCCTCTCAAGAAGAAATCTTCATCAATAACAACCACTCTAACTTCATCACCTAAGGCTGCCTCTGGAGGAGAGAAAAAAAAGGCTTCTAATCTATCTCCCTCGCCAGTAAGAAAGAGAGGTTACGAATTGGCCACCAAGTCAAGCTCGAGTTCTTCCCTATTGAAGAATGAAGAAGGAAGTGCTGCCAAGCCATCTCAATTGAGAAAATCAGGATCGTTTACAGGGCAGAATGTCATTTCTAATAATACAAAGAAGGAAGCAAATAATGGAAAAAAGTTGGCAAGACCAAAGGGATCTGCTTTTCAAAAGAAGCGTCCTCTTGATGATAAATCTGTTTCATACAAGCTGTTGGAAGAAATTGTCAATTCAACCATTACTCAGTTTATTAAGCAAGATGGAATTTTAAGTCATAGAGACTTACGCTTAATTATTAATAAGAAGATTGCCCTCGTCAAGTCAATCCATGACAATATTATTGGATCTGAAGCTGTATTTAGAACACCATTTGGGTCGAAAAAGTATTTACCAATCACGTATTGTGATTACATTGCAACGGGGAAACCATTGAAAATGATTGAGGATTACATTTTGGAACAAGTTTTACCAACCTATGCCAACACTCATAATACAACATCTTTCACAGGTTATCAAACAACACACTTGATAGAAGATGCAAGACAAATAATTGCTCAATGTGTGAATGCCAATTTGAAAAAACCAGAAGTTGCAAGTTCAACCTGTACAGTGAGTGGGGAGTGTGCTTCACAGGAATCCAACAACACTCAGAAGGAAGACGATGAAGATGTTATTATCTTTGCTGGAAGTGGTAGTGCAGCATGTATCAATACACTCATTCACTACATTGGAATCAGACAGAAAGTGAGAGAGGCACCAAGTGAAAAGGAGCTCCCTGTTGTCATTATCTCAACACTGGAACACCACAGTAATATTCTTGCTTGGAGAGAAACTGGAGCTTGTGTGATTCAAATTATGGAAGATAAGTACGGTAATGTCGACCTGGATGAACTACTAATTCACCTCAAACAATTCAAAGACAGTGGAAGAATGCTAATTGTCTCAATGACTGCAGCTTCAAATGTAACTGGTGTTGTGACTGATACTGAAGCTATTGCCAAGTTGGCTCACGAAAATAATGCTTGGTGCTTTTTTGACTATGCTGGAGGTGCTCCATATTTGGATATTAATGTCAATCCAAAGAATGATCCTCTTCTTGCTAAGGATGCAGTCTTTATATCCCCACACAAATTTATTGGTGGTCCAAGCACTCCTGGTGTTTTGATTGCCAAGAAGAAACTCTTTTCAAATACAGTGCCAAGTCAACCTGGTGGTGGTACAGTGACCTACAATCACAGTTATACTCCAGTTGTTGAAGAAAAGGAGGAAGGAGGCACATCAAATATTATTGGAAGCATTCGGTGTGCTCTGGTATTCAAGTTGAAGGATGAAGTTGGACCAAAATTGATTCAGAGAATTGAGGAAAAGTATAGAGATAGAGCTTTAAAGACGTGGTCAACAAATCCCAATCTTGTAATGGTTGGTCCTGGATTGGACTGTATTGGGGAGGGAAAGGTTGAAAAACTTGCCTTCTTCTCCTTTTTGGTCAAACATGAAGACTACTTTTTGCATCCATCCTATGTGAGTTTGTTGTTGAATGATCTGTTTGGACTGCAGAGCCGTCCCGGATGTTCTTGTGCTGGTCCTTACGGGGCTGAAATATTGGGCATTCAAATGACCAAGTTAAATCTTATTGAAGCTGCCATTGTTGAATCTATCAAGTCGTCCAATAGCTTGACTTGTTTGAAGCCAGGTTGGAGTAGACTCAATTTGAACTACTTTTTCGATGATAATACTGTTCAATTTGTTTTACAGGCTGTGGACTTTGTTGCAACTCATGGCTGGAAATTATTGCCTTACTATGTTTTTGATTCAAAAACCAATGAATGGAGTCATAGAAGATTTGGAAATAATTCACCTATGCGTTTGTCAGGATATTTTGATAACTTTACCAAATACACAGAGGAAAATAGAAAGAAACTGACAGAGGTTTCATTTTCAAATGGCTTCTTGGAGTTTGTAGATAAGAATGGAGAACTTCACAACACCGAGCCAACCACACCATTATCATACAGTAATATTTTGAAAGAAGCAGAGTCTGTATTGAGAGAATCAACAAATAACTTTAATGCACTCTACATTAACATTGAATCTGAACTTAATAATATTTTTGGTGATGAGGAGCTCGGATTAAGACATAGATATGGTAATTTGCGATGGTTCATGCTTCCTTCTGAAGCTTTAATGGACATGAAAGGTATTGAACGTGAGAAACATACAGATCCTGTGATTGTTCCAAAAGTTTACCCATCCTCAGATAGTTATATCAAGCAAAAAAAGATTGAATCAAGAACATTCCTCAAATCAAGGTTAAATAAATAATCTATCCCTAGGTAAAATAATTCGGTTCTGTTCAATCTTGACATCTTTTACTTCGAAGAGAGTTGACAACCTATTCAACCGTATGAGGTTTCCAGAAGAAAAAATTGCCATAATATTCCATTCTTCATTGCCAGTTTCAATGATTCGTTTCATGTCCAATCCTGTTAGATTTGTTTCATGAGAATTTGAAGAATCTCTTCTTGCAAATTGAAATATCTTTTCCGAGTCTATTAGATGGGAAATAGTGGAAATACTGACCATACTTTTTAATGCAGTAAAGCTTGGGTCAAACAATATGGACAATAAAAAAGTTAAAAGTGGTAGACAAGTTGGAGCAAGATCATATTTCCTGAATGTAAAGCATGGTTTCAATTTGACTTGATTATTGTGTAGAGTTGATATTTTCGAGAGGGATATTATCTTGCAGAGTGAAACAAGAGTCGATAATTCATTTTGAATTTCATCTTGATTGTTACCATATTTATATTCTAAAAATGTCATAATATCAAAATTAAATATAAATTCCAACGAGTTTTCGCCTCTCCTTGGTAGTAGAGAGAAAAGATATTGAAACACTCTCACATAATCAATACAATCATTATCCAAAAATTCATATTCACTTCCACCAATAAAATTCCTAATTAAATTAAAATTAGAAATGGCCTTCTCCAATCCAATCAACACATCTTCCAAGTAGTATTTCTTTACAAATATATATTTGTAAATATATGAACTTGTATGAATAGCAATGTACCATGTTCTACTGACAAGGCTACATTTAATTTGATCCGATAGGTCCAAATATTCCGTGATGACTGATACGAGGTCTTGATGAAGAACGTCTTGTTGATTCATTTTTTCTTACGATTTTCCTGTTCAAAATTGTGGATCAAATCTTCTGAAATGTTCTCAAGTGGTTCCCAAGTATTATCAGAGTCAGGATAACCAGCCCACTTAACAAGGTATTCAACCTTTTTCCTTCTTGTTCTCTTACCCACTAATTTTTCTACTCTGTATTGTCCATCGTCCAGCTCGTCATCACTTTCTAAAGTTGGTGGTTCAATAACTTGTGCTGTTTTTGGTTTTCTGATTGGTGTTCTCTTTGGTGTTTCTGTTTTGGCCTTTTTGGAAGAAGAAGCTCCACCTCTCTTGATGGATTTACGTTTCTTTGGAACTTCTTCCTCTGATATTGGAGTTGTTACTTCTGTTTCGAGTCGTTTCTTACTAGGGGTTGAAGGAGGAGGTAAAATTGAAGTTGATGGTCCTGGTTGTTCACCCAGAACTTCCTTGATAAGTGAAGACTGTGCTTCGTGAACACCTGTCACTTCTGAAAAGTAATTGAATATATTTGCTAATCCAATTGGCAGATCAACACCTCTATCATCCTGATTTAAATAATCCAAAATCAACAATTGATTATAATATTGAAAATGTTGGTCTCTGGTAAAACTGGAACCAATTTTTCTCTTTTCGATATCTAAATAATATTTAGCACAAGTTAATAGTTTTGTCTGACTATTAATCAAAGCTCCCAACATTGGAGTATCCGATCCACTTGTTGTTGTTGTTCCATTACTACTTGAAGTTCCAGCTTTTCTTCTACTAGTTGCAGTTACTGTTGTTGTTGTTGAAGATTTTGATGAAGAAGATTTACTAGCAGGAAGCTTAACTTCAGGTTCCTCGTCTTCACTACTACTACTGAGTGTGTAAGTTGCCGAAGCTTCTTTCGATCGTTTTGTAGCCATTTTTTATTGTTAATAATTTAAAAAACGATTTTTGTTTTGGCGCCAAAACATAAAATAATATTTAATATTATATTGAAATGAATTAAAGAAATGTTATGAAAATTGTTATTCCAAAATGTTGAGAGTTGGTGTTTGAGCTTGTTGTTCACATAATCGAAGTAAATGTTGGGTTGGAAGGTCATTTGGGTTGACTTGTTGATATTCTCGAAATAGAGGAATGGCTTCTTCAAATTTACCTTCAAACAGAAGAGAGCAACCTTGGTTGTAAACTCCCCATTTTAAATATCTTTCCTTCTTATTGAAATGTGAATGTAAATCTTTGGTCGAGTTAAGTAAATGAGTAGAGATTGGAAACTTACCATCATCAGTTTCTTGTTTCATTTCAATTGAATCTCCCAATTCATATAATAAACAATCTTTTGTCAATGAATTTGACATAGAAACACTTCCAATTTCCCAATTTTCTTGGTTGAAATCATCTAGAGAGGAAAAGAAATAATCCTCCCTTAATTCTCTTCTATCCAGGAATCTAGTCTCACACCTAGTGTGGCAATATTGCTTGATGTGCTGTGTGATAATGATTGGAACTTTGAGTTTCTTGCCAAATCTTATTATTTGATCCAAATTATGTCTCGTGCTTGAAAAAATTGTAAAGTGCTTAATGTCTTTAGTTCCAATATTTCCACAAAATGTTTTTTGAGCACAAATAGCAAATCTGAAATTAATCAATTCACAAATTTCCTCCCTCAATAGTCCACTTTCTCTCCACTTGTTTTCTTTCACGTTGGTTAACTTTTCTTGTAAAAGTTGAGCGCTGGCAACTGCTTTTTCTTCGTGATTGTTCTGGTTAATAGTAGTATTATAAGCAATAGTTAAAATATCATTCTCAAAGTTGACCAAATGGCCAGATGTAGTCCTAATCACTGTGTCCACTTGGCTAAATAAATCTCCCAACAATGAAACTAGATGAGTTGGGTTTCCTTCTAAGGATAACAACCATTCATTCAATCCTTCAATGTACATTTGATTGATACTAATCTTTCTTGGTTCCAAATAGAGAGAAAATTTGCATTTCAATTTAGATGATTTTTTCTTACTGTCCAAAATATTAGATAATTTTGAAGCTTTCCCTCCTTCAAGTGAATTATCTTCAATGCTTGAAAATGGTTGACTTTTTTCCAATTCAACAGAATCTGAAGTCATTGTTCTAGGTGAAAAGGAATCCAACGAAAGTCTAGTTGCAGTTTCTTGTTCTCCATTT